GGGAAATTCTTTTCCACAGACCAGCCCTTGACTTCCATCTCATTACATGACAATACAAACTACACAGAATCCCACATAAGGGTACACAGACAGAACAACATTATTAACATTACAGAATGACATGTCTGAAGAGTGTCCAGGCCATAGACGGACTGGAACACTTTTCAAGCTCCTAGACGGACAGTGCATGTTCTGGCAACATGAAGGTGTGCCTTGTCTTGTTGAAATATCAAGTGATGACAGCGATCCTCTCACTTCTCCACCTGCATGGGCAACTCTCCCTGTCACACCATCTGCATAGAGTGATGCTACATGCTACATCTACCATCCACTCTGAGCAGCTGAAAATGAGTCTCGTCTGTGAAAAGAAGCGTCCTCCATCTTGCCAGTGTCCAGCTAACATTAGTGGTTGCAAAAGTGGAACTGATTAGCAGTTAGTTCTGCCATAAGATCAAGGACTTGGTGTAGGCAACAAGATCACAAACCAGTGATTCGTCACAGTTTGAGCAGAACTCTGTCTTGCAGACGATCTCACAGAATTTTGCAGAAGAACAGCTCAGACGTTACGATCCTCAGCTCAGTCGGTGACATGCGGTCTGCACTCTTGTGGCAGATTGTCTGTTGCTGTCTGAAGATGTTTGTAAGACAAACTGTTCAGTTGTGGACTGTGGCCCTAAATGACAAGCTAGCATCCAGCAGCTAACAGTCTGTCCTCGTCATCTTTGGGATTGTGCCATTTGAATAGAGCTGCATTTTGAGGTGGTCTTTTTATAGCCGCTGGTCAAAGGAGTGTCTGTGCAGTGGTCACGGAAATCTGTCACCAGTTGAACAGCTCTAAATTGTTTTGTGCGCAATTGCATCCTTTTCTAACCAAAAATAGACACGAGATTTTAAACCATTTGCATGCACCGCTCAGACTTTTGCTCAGTTTAAGGTCTGCATTTGTGGGTTTGTGCATGTGATTGACAGAATGTGATTGGACAAATTACCTCTCTTCGACAGGAGGGTTACCGGCTCAGCAGGGCCCTCATTCTCATCACTTGATTGTTCATCAGATGTCTCGTGCTCTGCATCATATTCTGTGTTTTGTTTTGTTTTTTGGGTTTTTTTTTTTTTGTTCCGCTTCTGACAGTAACTCTTTCAGTCAACTTTTTCATTAGTTTCATGCGTATAGGCAGGTTCCACATATCTCAATTTTAGACACTTTTGCTCTTAATTGCAGCTTCTTCTGGACATTTTAGGCATCAACACTACAGAGGGACAAAATTTAAACCAAACAGATCTGGTGAAGATGGTCAAATTCAACTCTTTTCATTTTACAGGTGTGCAGGATATTATGAAGCCAATCCAGATGAAATAAAGCACATTTTTCAAACATAGTATTTACAAAAACTGCTCAAATTTGACTAGAAAGTAACAGAAGAGTCTCACATAAAAACAAATCAATTGAATATCTGTGAAGCTTTAATACTTTAGTACTAGTGTGACTTTAAATCAAAGCGCACAAGGATATTTTTAAGGCGTTAAATGATTACTTCTAACATTTATTATTTTATTTGATATAATAACTTAATTTCTGACTAACAGATGCTGTGTAGGACTGCAGCTCTCAGACTGTGGCTGTTCAAAGGACGAGATTAAAAAAAAGGTGAGTTGTGTGAACCTGAGCGTGAGGACATGCATGTGGGAAGCTAGTCAAAGACAAATAATGCTCCGTCTCAGTTTTATTTAACACGGGAGGTAAATTAGCTTTCACAACCAAAAAACAAAAATAGAAAACAAACAAACACACCGACAAAAAAAATAAGGTGGGAAGATGAAAATGGCAAATGAGCACAGCCACTGGCAAGCGAGCAATCCCCAGAGGCAACTCCTTTCATTTTCAACTAATGATATTTCCTTCCGCTTGTCAATTTTTTTCCCTCCTCCTCGTCTCTTACCAGTTCTCCGAGTGGCGATCATCTGCCAGCGCAAAGCCTGGTTTAGAGCGGCACTAAGAACACATGCACAGGGAAGTTGCAAAAGCAAGAAGAGAGAAACGGGGATAAAGAAGATTCAGGAAGCAAATATACGTTTCATTTTGGCTGCAAAGTGCTCAATGAGGCAAGAAACTGGTCCATCATGGAGCTACGGAGAATTACTTTTATACTTCATGAAAAGTTGGAACTCTGCCTTTTAATTCTGGAAAAAAAACAAACCATACAGGAGACACACAGTTGCACACATCAATCAGGATGCTCAGTTGAGAGTCAGTGTCTCGTCACATCATCTTTTCCAGGTCAGCGTCTCCACTTGCAGCCACTGATGGAGCATCATCGGTGAGCATGTGCGCTCGTGTCCGTGATGCGAAATACTCAGTGTTGTGCATGAATGTGCTTGAGCATGCTCATGTTTTTGTTGAACTGTGAATCTGAGTGCCAAGAATTCCTCTTTTGGAAGGTTTTTCTTCGTCTCCCCCCTTGGAAGGTGGCCTTGTGTGGATGTGACGCAGGACTTTTGTTGTGGAAAGTGAAGGATTCTCTTTTTTTTTCTCTGTTGTGAGCGAGGAGTAACAAACACTTTGCTGCAGTCACTGTGAAGTGCACGCCGGCAGGGGTGATCGAGTTACTGTAATCAGCCATAAAGTGTGCAGACAGGCCCAAGTTTCAGTTAAACATCTGTCCAAATGCTGTGTACCGTGTTTGCTGCCCCCAAAAAAAGGAAATTAAGACAGTTCATGCAACACTAAAACAGGTTTTCTCTGCAGAGTTGGTGTGGAGAGAAAAAAGAGGATAGAGAAAAGACACTCGACCTTTAATAGAGGACTCTGGATTCATGATAAGGAGCGATAACCATTCAATTTCTGGAACATCGCTCACTTTATGCGTTTGTGGACGCCCTTCAACAACGTGCAGCTGTCGTGTGTGCCGTGGAAAGAAGAAGCTACCCGTCTCTTGAGTCAATTAGGGCCTGGGATGGATGCGTAGGAGAAGGAAAAAGAGTAGCTAAGAGAAAATAAAATTCATTTTTTGTAGACTTAGTTAAAAACCCCAAACTGTGAACTCCGAATGTGAACTTGCTTATTTCATTCTCTGTGAACTGAACACTGAGGTGCCTCTGAGGTGTGAACTTGCACAACACTAGAAATACTCATGCGTGAATCTGATAAAGAATATGCACTTAAAACTGAACTCTTGACACGATATAAAAAACACCTCTCTCTGTTTCATCCTTTCATCTTTCAGAACTTATACTCTCTCTCTCCTAATATTTGTGCGCTAAATATTTTCCTTCCCACTTCGCTCTCACCTTCCCTCCCGCCCACATCCATTCGCAGCACCCACACTTTTTTCTTTTTACGTCACCAAGGCATCAAGAACAGTTTGTCACATTAGTTAGCTGTTCTGCAGAGAGTGTTGACCTTCCTAAAGACAAAGCTCTTTTCTGCACCTTAAACAGCGAGTTGTTTTTTTTTTTTGAAAAAGCTGGAGCTTGCAGATGGTTGCTTCTCCTGCTTATGCAGAAAGCTATTATCATGTTAGGACCCACTGTCACTGCTGTCACTGCTCATCACACACACACACACACACACACACACACACACATGCAACTACTGAAATTCAAATTGGCAATGAGAAGTAGACGCATTTTCATAGAGGCGATACATTTGAATGAACATCTCACACTGCGAAAGGAAGACTCTCTAAGTAAATTGTATGAAAACATACAGACTAATGGTTCAATCGTGCACAGCATTGAGTTTTAATACTGCAGAGGACCAATAGCAATTTGAACCCAACTGAACCGGAGGGAACAGTAATGTTGGGAACGTGAATTTACAGGACACTTTATTGGCCAGCGTCTTTCAGTAATGATCATCGCCACCAACAATGTTCCAGCTCCCCGGTCGTCACCAGCCACTCACACTATCTATCTCTTCCTTTGTGCCTTTGTGAGTCACCTCCCTGCGCCTTTGTGACTGCAATGTGAGTAATATCTTCAATGATGCCATGTCTCAGCAACATCCAGGATGATGCAGGTCAATCGGTGGCCGGTGGGCCTCATCTGGCTCCAGCAGCCCACTGAGTTTCAGTTAATTTCTCGGCACCAACTGCGATCGCTGAGGTCAATTTTCGCTGCATTTGCCAGCTTTGAACGTAAGTTAGTGCCAGCAGGGAGGACATCAGCTGATTTAACTCTTAAATGCATGGGTTGGTTTTCTGTTGCATTTATCTTGAGTTATTTATAGATATATTACGAAAAAGAAAGTCTTCTCTCAGGGCTGGCTGATATGTTCATAGCGTCTTATTTTGGACACAACTTGCTGTAAATTCTAATTTAACCTAAACCTAAACCAGTCAGCACATTAGTCACATGCTCATTGCAAGGTAGACTGTTTTGCAGTTGAGCATACGGTGGATGGAGAGATGGGGCATCTCTGGCATGTTTGCAAAACTTTTTTTTTTTTAGCTGAAGCCCTAAGCTTTTAGAGGTCATGGCACTCTTAAGGAATGTATGACTGTGAGATCTCTGGCTTCCCTAATTGGAACTTTAGCCAGGAAACGTGCTTATGCTTTTATAGCAGCAGGCTTGATGCAGCTAACTGCACTTGGGGCCACTATTTCTATTTATTTTTGATCATATCTGACATAAGCACATATCAGTTGACAGGCACATTTCCATGCTCTGGTTCTGCTTTTAAATGATTCTGATTCATGAATGGCACAAAAGCTAATCCCTCGTTATCGCTAGCCTCAGGTACATCTTTCGTCATTAGACGAGTGAGTCAGCAGTGGCACTGTAAAAACAACAACAACAACAACAAAACTTGCCTTACTGCGCACATGCACATATAAAAACATTAGAAAAACAATACTTTTCTTTTTTTTAAAATCATTTTTGATGCCAGAACACTGGTAAAGACAAATATTTGGAGGACCGCTTGAGAGCTGAATGCTTCACTGACATGGAAATGATTAAAATATGTAGATCAAAACGCAAAATCACGTTTAACTAGAGTTGTGAGAACTAATGTAAATCATTAACCAGGACAGTCTGTAGCAGAAAGTAGCTTCTCCAGTGGAAGTGAAGTGGATGTTGGAAACTGTGAATGGTTTTACTTCCATGTTTTCTTTTGTTTTGTCTTGTTTAAATCAATAATTACCCAAAAATCGTTGGGAAATCCCATCTACAACACTCGACTGGCTGCCAAGATGAAAATTGTTAACCCACCATAGTTGACTATTAAAACTTGTAGTCTCGAGTCTTTTATCAACATTAACAACCAATAAACCAAACAGCAGCACTCTACAAAGTCTTGTGTCCGACAGGATCTGAAGCCACATCTACAGAGCAACAAGCCAACAGACTCTGGTATATGAGTTGTGTTGAGGCAATGAGTAGAGCTGCCGTCACCACCACCAAATGAAATTTGTGGGTTTGTGGAGGGTTTTTAGCACTAAATGACCTTAGTGGTCCGGCAGCAGGCGCGTATAGCCGTGGTAAGCCCAGTATCAGGGACCTCTGGTTGTGCTCCACCAAAGTTTGCTTCCAAACAAGGCCTCTAACCTTAACTGCTCAGACAAATAACAGAGAAGCTTACTGGTCAGCATTTGAATGTCCTAACAGGTGGCTGCAGCTTCAGGCTCCTGACAGCTGTTTCCAAACAAACACACACAAATGAAATGCCACCTCTCCCTATTTGGCATTCTGTTTTAGGTAAGACCAGTTTGTGTGTCCGTGTGTGTGTGTTACAGGGGTATTACAGTGCTGATTGAACCATAGTCGGACAATGAATACCAATCTGTGCGTACCCAATCTGTTCTGCATGACTTTCTCCTTCGCTGTCCTAGTGTGACCAGACTTTTAGTAGCAGCAGCAGCAGCAGCAGACGCCATGTTTGACAGTGTTATCTATGACACGCAGGCTCCAGATACCCTTTAGGGGTCCTTCAGGAGGCTCCACAGGGTGCCCAGCCAAATTTCACTTCACTGGGGCGGCATCCACGCAGAGTGAGAATGACTCCTTTCACCATACAGGTGGTTTCACAATCGCCATTTCAAAATTGTTATCACCCCTTGAGAAATAATTCCTGTCTGAGCAGAGCTTATTTTTTAATTATTCCTGAAGCACACATTAACGCTGACCGCTTTTGTCATGCTGTTATTGAACGGTTCAAAGGGGGAAAACATCAGTTCTCTTTTATAAGATCAGATTCCAACAGATTTTTGAAGAGGCTGGAATGTCAACACTTGAAAAAATGGCTCATATTTTTTAGTTTAGCATCAGCAAATGCACATAAGTGTGAAATCGCTGCATAATAAAACCCACTATGGTAGTTATACATATTTAAAAATGAACACTGATAATAATAATAAAAATACAGATACAATCATTATTTTTCTGAACATAACTGCGATGTCGGCAATTCCATCAGTCGACACCATCTCGATTGTGCTCCTACGCGCGCGGTATACTCTGAATATTAGCTAATATCCTGGTTATGGTCACATTTTGGATAAGCTTTTTATATTCATCTTCATATCTTTCTCATGAATATATCTGAATATCCAAATAAATAGCCAACCTTGGATGTTGCCATGGAAATTCAAGTCACACAAAAGGAAAACGGCACAGTGAACAGGATAAAGTGTCCTCCTCGCCGTCTCAAATGATAAAATCACAAAGCACACTATTGTCACTCTCACACAAATGCCAGTATAGAGTATGAAGAACTTGTGAGATGATGTTTGAATGCACCCATTGAACAGCAGCACCCTCCATCTATACATGAAATGTCTTTTTAAACTTCCTGCAAACAAAAGAAGCTATATGGAGCTCCTTCTTTTTTCCTGTCACCATAGTTTTTGGTCTGTCTCCATCTCACAGTTTGAATCTTTAATGCCTTTCTTCTCTTTATATCTCGCTCTCCCTCCATCTCCCCGACCATCTCGGCCTTTTGTCTGTACATTTACGTTTTCCGTTGATGTCGGAACCAATCTCAAAATAAAACATGACACAAATGCAAAATGTTATGGATGGGGGAAAAAAGAAGAAGAGAGGGGAGCTAACAAAACACGAGGAGGTAGGAGGAAAAACAGTAGGGGTTAGAGGCGAAGCAGGGGAGGGCCCTGCTGCCTTAAGCAGAGTTCACTCCGGTTATTTTCCTCCTTTGATTGGTCTTGTTTTAGTTCCCCTCTCCGTATTATTTCAGCGAGTATTTTCGCTGCAGTTTGGAGAGACAGACTCATCGTTTTGCCCTGCAGGGGAGAAATGCAGATGGCGAGATGCTCCACTCCTCTCTCATCCCTCACTCCCGTACTCATTTTTTTTTTTCTCTCCCCCCGCTCCTCTCCTCCATCCCTAATGAATCAAGAGAATTAATTAGAAAAATATAAAATTAGATGACTGGAGGAATGAGGAAAGAGAGAGGAGGGAGCAGAAAGAATGACATAAATAAGTTCTGTTCTTTTTTGGGGGGGCCTGTAATTACTTATTTGAACATGGAGACGTTCTGCCCTTTGGCCAGGAATACTGGACTGCGCTGTTATGTTTGTGCAAGTCCGAAGAGTTTTGGATCAACATCTGAACTGCAATAGAAATGAAACTGTACACAACATCCAACATCTGGCTATTCCAACGGCATGAAATCTCAGTTGAATACCCTTGTAGTGTCTGTGATCACCTGCATTGTGTTTGAATTAGTGGTGGGACGTGATTACAAAAAAGTAAATCTAATTAATTGAGTGCAATTGATCACATTTTTGGCCAGCAATATTTGACACAATAAGCAAAGTTTTTAAATTCAAATAGACTTTGGTTGACGACTGAATCAATGAATAGACATATACGTGGACTTAAACAACAAAAATGTTTCATTTTCATCTATATTTATCTGCATTTTTCATCTGTCTACTACATCCACAGATGAGTGCAAACTCAAAGTGCAATTATAGTGATTAGATTCAACATTTTAGGACTTTTTGTCTTATTTGTTACGCAATTTGCACAAAACCATGCTCTCGCTATGCTATGTGTCCACAGGATCCATCTATTTCTTGCTTCCCATTCATGGTGTAGTTAAACTCCCCACGACGTGTTCTGGAGCGACGGGGGGGAGTTTGAGCAAGGAGGTGTAGCATCATCCTCACTTGCATAAAGTAGATGTTACACCACTCAGACCACGACAGTATGGTGTAGAAACACGAGCTCACTTTTATTACTTCACCGGCAGGACTGGTAACACAAACAAGCTGTCGGTACAACAGCGGGCACACACACTTCACTTTTCGCGCTCCAACATCTCACACCCACGGCAGTAACAACACACAGAAGAACACAACTTCTTCTACCTGGCAGTAATCTCACTACCCACCTCTATGTACTGCCACCTACTGGACGGTGTAATTATGTCTCAACCAAATAACTGGGAGCTTCTGCTTGATCAACTGAATAAAGTGTAAATACATGTACAATATATACATAAACAAAAAGAACATCTTTCCAGGTGTCACATAGACTTGATTTCAGCTTTATACAAACTTGGCAATTTTTGGCAAAATGGCCCCTGTGGCCTCGATAAGAAAAAAAACTTTCCACCCAACAAGCCAAGCAATTCAGTTTCGTCTTCCATCGCTGTTCACCAAACTTTCTTGTGCGCTGACGTCACTTAATGCATTCTGTGCTCATAGATGAATTTATAATCACCACGGGCACTTGCCAGTGCACGCATTACACACATGACACTGGGCAACACACAACTACCAAAACACGAACAAAAGCATCACTGGCGCTGTCCATGGTACCACTTCTGATGCGTGTATCGGTGATAATCTATAGTTCAGGAGCTGAGAACTATCTTGCCTACGTAAATCAGCACTGATACACGCATCAGGCCACATAACAATAAAATACTCCTACTCCTACTCTCAGGTTCGTTACCAGCCGCCACCATCGCATCCCCCACTGCCAATGTGATAGGATGTAGCTCAGCCTCTGCCTGTCGTAGTACTAGTGCAGACGGTATCAGTAGGACCACTATCAGAAGTCTCCAGTGCACTTGAGCTAGCAGTGTTAGCATCCCGCTGATCCTCTGAGCAGTGAGGTGTAGAACAACTTCCACCGCTGGTTTGAGTAGGCCTACCGTCATCTTGCCTCTGTGTTTTGGTGAAAATTGTTGAGATTGATGGCAAAGCAGCATTTTTATCCTCTGTTCTTTCCTTAGCTTTCTTTTTTCGGAACCACTGAGCGCTCGCCTCTCCATTTTGAAAACAAACTGTTTTGACGTCATACGTACTTTTTTGTGTGTTCAAAAAGTAGTCTGTTACGTTTGAAAGCAAACGCATGAAAACGTTACGTTGGAAAGTACGTTAGAAAGCAAACACATTTTTATTGATTTATTTATTGCACAAAAAAACCTGAAGGCCAAGGGTCCTTATTGGCTCTGGGGCCCTGGACACACGCCCACTTTGCCCATGTGGTAATTCGTCTATGCCTGTGCTTCTTTTTTTGCGACTTGTAAACAAACTTTAGGTGCATCACCGCCACCTACTGGCTGGAGTGTGGCCATCAGTGTTACCAGTGTGTCCGAAATTAGTCACCTAAGAAATGTGTTCATTTTCTAAATGCATTATTTTTTTCTGTAATTAACTAACTGTAATTTAAAGTCCCAACCCTAGTTTAAATACAACCTAACTTATGATTGACATGAAAATTACAGATTTGTCGTTGTTTAACCACTGAATAAATGTTTCATTGTTCTTCTATCACACATCACAGACGATATCAACAGCAGCTCTTTCCCTGCTGTGCTCAAATGTAAAATCACTACTTCACGATAGCTTTTAAGATTCTAACCCCACTTTCTAGCCTCCACATACCTGCTAAATTGTTGCATCAAGTGTGCGTGACTGTTGAATTGTCGGGTTTGGAAAGTTACAGAAATTGCTTCCACTTTTTTTTGCACTAAAGCACTTCAGGTGAAGTATAGGGCATCTATAGAGGTAACACAGTGTCTCTGACCGGGCACTTTTTCTCAACCACACAAAACCCTCCCAACACTGATACTGTCAGATTTATACATTCTGAGACTGAGGTGTCACCAGCTTAGTGTGACTGAAGATTTTCGCTGACCCGGTGTGGACAAAAAAATCCGAGAGGAAGAAGAGGGAGGCAAAGCTGATAGTGGACACACACATGCACACATAATCCATTTGACCTATGGTGGATGTGAGGGGAAGAGAAGGAACCAGCACAGTGGGAATGTTGTACAACACCAACATGACTAAGCCTCACCTCTTCCCCTTAAGACTCTCTCTTCCACCGTTTTTTCTCCCCCCACTAACCTTTCCTCTTCCTCTGAGCTTCCCATTATCTCCATCTCACGCTTTTATCTTTTCACCACTGCGTCTGTCACCCATCTTTTCCCCTCTCTTTCCTTCCTCCCTTTACAAGCATCCCCCTGTCCCTTTTTCTGTTTTCACCTTTGTTCCTCCTCCTCCTCCTCTTCGTCCTCCTCCTCTTCCTCCTCCTCCTCCTCCTCCTCCCATGTTGCTGCTCTCGCTTTCTTCTCTTCCTTTTCCCCCCCTTTGTGTCTCTGCGGCTGCCAGTCTACTGCTGTCTGTCGAGCTCCCCGAGGGGATACAGTACAAGTGTTTTTGATTTGGAGCCAGGGTAAAGATGCATCAGACAGTGACTGCTGTGTGTCACACCAGCATGCGCACACACACACACACACACACACACACACATTCATGTAAACCCACACGTGTAGATGTGCGGCATGCAAAACGTGTGCACATTCGTATGCACGGATGTAGACAGGTGCAGTGAAAGTCTTGAGAAGTGTTTTTCTTCTCGTTCGCAGAGGAAGGGCAGCAGAAGGGCAGGAGAGGGATGATTCGAATGGAGACGAAAAGCAGCGGGTTACATTCATGATGCCCCTCAAAGTCAGTGAATAAATGATTAGAATAGTCTCCCACAAGTGGTAACAAGCTGCTCTTGTGTCAAATGGGAAAAGGCAGGGTTCATCACCTTCTTTCTTTTTACTTTTATTGCCTGGCAGAAACATCACACTGAAAGATAAGTCGTTTTACTGATACTTTACTGAAAGGATTCATTCAGCTTCAAGCTTTTTAAAAAATGAGCTACAGGTCATTTCCATACCTCTCTCATTCTGTTTTTTTTTTGCTGCAGTACACCTGCTGCACAACATTATGTCATATAACATCTCTAAGAAGATTTATTTCCATTCGGAGTTTATACTTTCAGCCCACGGTGGATTTTTACAATTTCCCATTTGACTGAGCTGTTGAGTTGAATGTCATCATATGCTGAACATTATAGGGTTGATAAAGGTCAGATTTATTACCAGAATATTCCGCCAGCTTGTTGAGTATTCAGTGCAGAGTCTCTTTTTTCAACATCAGAACGCATTATTTGCACGACATATTTTTCAGATGGCTGATTTTTTATTTTCGTGTGTCATTGAAATTCTCAATGTGAAAGTCTGAAGTATACTGATTAAACATCTTTTTTTAAAAAAAAAAAAGCTCAACTGGAAGTGGAGCTGTGGAGAAAAAAAAAAGAAAAAAAGAAGCAAAGTATGGCCTTGAGGTAGAGAAACACAGAGGATTTGCGTCAGTAAAGCCTATTGCAGCACACTCTGTTCCAGAGAAGCCATTATGAGTTACAAGGATTTAGGTATTGGTATGCACACTGGCTGTTGAAGCTCAATTGGCGAATGCTTTTTGCTGTTCAAGTCTGACCCTGTTCGGGCCCTCGTGCCTAAATCTGCAGATGTTCAAAACTAACTGAAGCTTTACCTTAATCTTAACCCACCACTTAACCCAGCCTTTATTTTAAAGATAAAAGAAAAAACAGGGCCGTGTTCGTGATTAAGGATTTTTTAAAAGATTTTTATGGAGCCATTTTTCTAATAAAAAGGAAGAAACATAGTAAAACTCAGTGAGGTGCAGAATGTCCACAAGCCTCTCTAAGCCAATGGGTACAAAACATGAAGAATGAGAACCCTGTCAAGTCCCAGATGCTGTTCACAGTCAGAATATCTTGCAAGTCACAATATGTCAGCACGTACCACCACAAACCATTTAACACCTGAAGATAGATGCCTGGACACCCTAACAATAGGATCTCTCCTGAGAGGAAAGCTGAGGAGGTTTGTGACATTCCTTGGAACAGCTAAGGTGGGCATTATCGATATCAACCAAGCAGCAAAAAACCCTTTGGGAATAGCCAGGTAGAGCCCAGGAGTAGGTCACAGCATCCACTGGGAAGAGAACCTGATCACTGACTTGAAATCAGATAAAGGAGGCCAGGAAGGATGGCAGGAAGTCATCCTTGAACAGAACCAAGAACAAGGGTTAAGCATATGTATGTTCTGTATTTAACATGAGTTTGATTGACAGTCCAACCCTCAGAACTGGCTGAATAAGTCATTCTGCCGGCACGGTTGTGTCTTCAGTCCTGGCTCAATTACGTATTTTGTGAAATTATGTTGGAAATGAAGAAGTAAATACTACCCCTGAAGCAAACAGACATTAAAAACGATCATTCAAATTTTAATGTGCTGTTCTTTTTTTTTATTATTATGATTATCATTATGTGTGTAAATAAGACATCCATCCACCCATTAGCTGCACCGACTTTATTCTGCAGAGGGTTGCAGGGAGGGCTGGAACCGGATTCCGTCTGACATTGAGCGAGAGGCGGGGTACAGCCTGGGCGGATCGCCAGTCCATCACAGGGCTAACACAAAGAGACAGATAGCCATGCATGCTCACAGTTACACCTAAGACCAATCGAGAGTCACCAGTCACCCTACAACGCATGATGTGGACTGTGGGAGGAAGCCGGGGCAAAATAATCAACGCAGGCACAGTGAGAACATGTGAATTCCCCGCAGAAAGGCCCCAGGCAAACAGCAGGTTTGAATCCACAACATTCTTGATGGGAAGCAACAGTTCCTACGACTGCACCAATGTGTCACCCTTAAATAAACCACACAAGCCATTAAAAACAGCCTGCCTCCATTGTGGCAATTTGCAAAAGTTGGGCCAAAACTTTTACTCGTGAGGCCTTTTTGACTCGTAAAGACCTGTAAGGCAGGTCAAGAATTTTAATTATGTGCTGTCAGCTGATGATAATTCCGTAAAAAGACATGACAGCCCTTTAAGCTAAAAACATCCAGATAAAACTACATGTCTGGTGGGCAGAAAGGCAAAGCAAGAC